GGGTGTTAAATATTTATTTATTTATTTATATATTTATTTATGTTTTGTTTTTTTCCCCCATAGGTTTTTAACATTCTAAAAGCTCTTTATTCCAAAGATGCTAGTCAGTGTATTCAGTAGGTGTAATGTATTGTAAGTTGCTTCAGAGGTATTGCAAGTATTACGTACAACAATAAAAAATATGTGCATTGACATAAAAAAGGAAATTTACTTTTGCTACTTAAGTACTTTTAAAAGCAAGTACTTCTGTACTTTTACTTAAGTAAAAATCTGTCTTTACAACTTGTACTTGTAATGGAGTAATATTTGACCAGCAGTATCTGTACTTTCACTCAAGTAATGGAGTTGAGTACTTTGTCCGCCTCTGCATGTATGTGTTGCATATTCCTTCCGAGTGCATTGATTAATGTGTGTGTTGATGTTTCAGGCATTCAGCGACGAAAGGCATCGTCATCGCTATGATTTGCACATTCTTCGAAGCCTTCAACGTGCCAGTGTTCTGGCCCATCCTCGTAATGTATTTCATCATGCTGTTCTGCATCACCATGAAACGGCAGATCAAGGTTCGGCAGTGGAAGCTTTTCTTTCGAGATCTTTCTAGTTCACAAAGCTGAGTTATCTAAAAATAGAGTTCCATTTGCACTGAAAGTGAAGTTCTTTGACACTGTTTGTGTTTCCTCTGCAGCACATGATCAAGTATAGATACCTGCCCTTCACACATGGGAAGAGAACTTACAGAGGCAAGGAAGACACCGCGAAAACCTTTGCTAGTTAAAATTCCCCTTCCTGAAATTAAAGTTATTGATGAAGAATGGTGCGTAAAGGGGGTTGAGGTTTTTTTCTTTTTCTCTTTTGCTTTCTTTCTTTTTCTGAGCAAGGAAAAGCCAAGTTTGTTTTGATCGACATGGAAACTGTAATGCTGCCTTTAAGCGTTCGGGGTTTGGGCCTTTGAGAAATGCTGTTGAGAGCTTCTACACTGACAAATTTTAATATATTTGGACAACTAAGTATGAGATTTGACTCATTTATTTATTTTTTTTGCTCAGTGGTCCAGATTCTTCTTCAAACCTAGAGGATTTGATAAACTATCTTCTCCAGTATAGGTTTTAAAATGGTAGTTCACTTGGAAATGCTAATTTAAAAAAAATAATAATTTACTCACCTTCATGTAATTTTCGACCAGTGTGGCTATTTTTCAAAAGACGATATTTAGCAGAATGTCCATGCTGCTCTGTTCCATACCTTTAATGTTATGGAAAATAGCAGCATGAATATAATCTCTTTTTATGTTTCACTAGTGGTAAAAGTCATATTGGTTTGGAACTAAATGAAGGTGAGAAGTTAATTTTGGGTGAACTATTGCATGATTATTTACAAACGTGCGAATATAATATAAAAGAGTGGGGAGAGTTGTCATTTGTATAATTAATATTGATGGGAAACAAGCCACATTTGATCATTTTATGACCCCCATGATAAGAGAGATGTTTAATATTCATACCGTGGTACATTTGGTGTCCTCCTTAGTTAATATAATTAGATTCAGTATGCAGATGAACGTAAGACGCTTCCGTGACAGGGGAGACGTTATTGATCGTATAGGGACTTAGTGGAGTTCCATATTGCCACATGTTAATATTTGCCTTTTATGAACATTTGTAATTCTCTTAATGTGCTGTAGCATTGTATTTAATTTTTGTATATAGTTGTCCACCTTAATCACATCCATTCGTGCTGTTTGTAAGTTATTCTTCAGTAGTGAACCATTTAAACCCCCTCACCTTGTACATCAGGTTTTTTAAAGCAAAGTGTGCATTCCATTAAAATAGTATGATACAAAATTATTGGCTGTATGTTTTTATCATTTAAGCATTCCCAGTAACTTTCTCTCTTTTTTCTTTTACAGAGGAAACATAAAGTTGAGTGCTTTAACTAATACAAATGGATGGAGAGGGTTGAAGGTTGTTGTTCTTTTGTGTTTTTCTTAAATTTTTTGGTTTGTTTTTTTTTTGGTGCTGGGCCATAACAACTAGTATAGATTTTTTTTTTAAGGCAAATGGAAAGAACTTCAATAACTTCAATAAGCACTGGAGATGAGATCCGTTTTCCTATTAAAGTGCAGAGAACATATCCACTGTGAAGCTGGGTGACAATAAAACATACAGAGCTCATGTTCTTAATCTGCTGCTTGTTAATGGTGTTACATTTCTAAGGTATATAATGATAAGGTATACATCAGGGTTACGTACTCGGTCCTCATTATCTTCCTAGGTGGGCAGAACTGATGAATGGTTGAGGGCTAATCACAGGGTATGGCTCTTTTTTATTTGGGGGGGTTATATATATATATATATATATATATAAACTTTTTTTTTTTTTATGGTTAGCATGCTTGTTTTTTTGTTTTTTTTGGACAACGGCATTTTTACTGTATTAAATTAAACGTCATCAAAACAAAATAATAGGTTTCTTGATTCCTGATTAAAGACATTGCATGTTTTAGGTTTTCTTGTGCTGCTGGTTAAGAGAAAATAAGATGATTTTAATAACTTAAGTGTAATTTTTTTTTACTTCAAATGCTATTAAAAGGCTGTGTCCCTTCACTGCTCATTACTTTTTTTTAATTTATAAATTTATTTAATTAATTGAGTTGTTTGATAATATTTGTTTACAATGTCCTTATTACACATTACACATATAGTAATAACAGTAAATTATGCATAATTACATGCAACTACCCCTAAACCAAACCCTAACCCTATAATAAATACATAATTTTACTCGGATCTTAATTGTATAATTACACTGTAACAAGGAGACAGTGTAACCATAATTCTTTAGTATACAGAATACTATGTTTGGGTGAGTCAGAAGCTAAGATAAGGTTAAAAGTAATGGTGCATATAAATATAAATTTGTAATGCACAGGTCAGAAGCTAAGATAAGGTTAAAAGTAATGGTGCATATAAATATTAATTTGTAATGCACAGAATAATTATAAACATTTATAGTACTGAGATAAACACCATCTTACGACAGTTTGCAATTGCACCTACAGTACAGAAGCTCCAAAAAAACACATCAACATAAAATGCAAGAATGTCATTGCATTAGATAACAAAACATCAAACCAGCTGGCATCTGCAAACATGACGCTTGAGCTTTTCTCAGAACTAGTGTTATCTTTATTCTGAACAGTGAAGGAGAGTGGGATAAGATGTGCCGGCTGTTGTTGTCTTGCGACGGTATATTTAGAAAGAGTCCACCATACAAGCCAACAGCTACAACATTTTTTAAAGTTAAAAACGTTTGCCTGTCAAATGTTTGCCTGTAATTTGACAGAATGTGTTAACAATAGAACAAGCACGTATAACAGTCAACCATAAATTATGGTAATAAAGGAATTTCATTTTTTTTTACTTCAACATGTTTAATTCAATGTGTTAATTGTTTCTTTGTGAAATTTACTAGCAATTTCTGAGTGAAAACTCTTTCTAGACCAGTTTAGTTTTATAGTATTGAAGAGAAATACATTTTCCTGTAGGGGGCAGCAATGTCACAGCCATCGTGTCGTTCTGGCAAATGCATGTAAATAAGTACTTTTATTGAATTATATGCATTTATTTATTTAGTCATTTAGCAGACGCTTTTATCCAAAGCGACTTACAAATGAGGACAATAAAAGCAGTGCAAATGACAAGTCTTGGTTAGCCTAACGCAGTACACGTACTATATATATATATTATACACGCACACACACACAAAGAAAAACAAGTAGAATAGAAAAAATAATAGAAAGCTAGTGTTTTTTTTTGTTTTTTTTTAAATAAAAAAGAAGATACATATAGATAAAGTAGAATTACATTTCATTTGCATTTCAGATACATTTTGCGACACTTAAGTCGTTATGTTTCAAATTTGTTATATGTTAAGGTTAAAATTTGATTTGATGTTAATAATAATTTTGCGGCGTACTGTGACGCCCCCTAGCGGCTGTTACCTTAAACGCACGTGCCGTCCCCGCGTCCCGTTGAACTACCAGAGCGTCAGACTGCACGCGAGCGAGTCCGCTTCAGTCTCGTTCTCAACCGGTGCACGGCTCCTTTCGTGACTTAACCTCATCGGCCGGCAATGCGCGAACACTATTATTCACTTGTCTTAAGGAAAGCCCCGTCGAACCTCTTGTTTCCCGATCTATGTATAGGTTGCACTTCCGGGTTTCCGGGCAAGCGTCTTTCCCCGAGGATCAGCTGTGATGATTGCGTGAGCAAACCGAGAGAGAGCGAGAGAGAGAGAGAGAGAGAGAGAGAGAGAGAGAGAGCGACTCCTGAATGCCGTGCTGTGCGGATAATCGTTGACAAGCGCACAGTAACAGACAGCGTGGCAGGAGGATTCCTGTAGATGAAGCTGCTTCGCTGCTGCACTCATCAGATCTCTTATTATAAGCTGCTGTTATGAGAATGAAGAGATGCCAAAGGTGACTCATCCTGCCGATTCCTTCTGATGAGTTGTTTTTGGATCTGTAATTTAACGCAACCCGGGTTGATTTTGTGATGAAGGTGCGCTGAGCTCGCATGAACCTCGGAGTCTCTATCCGGACGGTAAGGTATTATATATATATATCGAGAGACTGTCGCGCTTTGCTGTAGTTTGCGCGTCTGTCAAGCCTCGGAGCCGGAGCTGGAGAACCACACGCGCGCGAGAGAGAGAGTCAGGCGGGTTTTCACGATTTAATGAGTATTAAAGCGCTGCCGGTTGGACAATGAAGAAGTTCTTCGATGGCCGACGGGAGATGGTGAGCTCCGGGCCCGCGTCTGGAGCCGCTGCGGGAGGCGGCGCGGGGTCCGGCGCGTTTATCGGACGCGTTTTCTCCATTGGACGATATCAGGTGACCGCGGAGGAGACTGTGGCGGAGGGTAAGCGACTCTATGCGCTCATAAGGACAATCAGCTATTGAAATGTTCGTGCTGGTGATGCTTTTATGGTCTATGGTTAAATAAATAAATAAATAAATAATGATGCCTTATTGACTCCGAGCCTGAGGCGTCACTCCTCTCACTCATGCGTCATCTACATATTTGCTGCCTCAGCTTTACTTTAGTATTAGTTCGTTATAATATAGTTTACTTTAATATTTAACACCAAAATGAAAGTTTGGAGATCATGTATACTCACCCTCGTGGTGTTACGGACCTGTATGGCTTACTTTCCTCTGTGGAGGTCAAAAGGAGAAGTTTAGCAGAATGTCCAAGCTGTTCTTTTCCATTTAGTGAAAGTGGGTGGAAACTGGAAAGCTCAAGCTCCACAAAGTGACATTAAAGTAAATGAATTGAATCGTGAATACGTTTTACAACTTTTCTGAAATCACATGTTTATTTTGAGGAAGAGTTTAAAATTTAAATCATTATTCATTGAAAATCTTGCCCTAAGCCTGCATGTCGCCTGTCAACAGCAGGTTTGACATGATGCCAAAACTGTATTGATTCTTTCGTTTTGTAAGCCATATTTGTGTCTTTTGATCATTAAAGGAAGATATCACAAAATATAAAAGCCTTTCATAATTTACTCACTTTAATGTTGTTCCAAACCCACTTTCTGCCATGGAACTAAAAAAAAAAAAACAGCATTTTTCACTTCTTATTTTTTATTATTGTTATTATTTTTAATAATATATTTATTTTTCAGGCATTTTAGATCATTTTTATGCTTTTCTAGTATGGAAATGAGCATTGTAAACATTCTACAAGATACCTAATTTCATATTCTACAGAATAAAGTAAGTCATCCAGGCAGAAGGACATAAATGGGAGCGTATGACAACAGTAATTCCTTTAAAAAACATGTGTTTCCCAGGGTTTCTGTAACTTGCTGCCCATTGTGGTTCTGGAGCTGAGCATGGACAGTTCTGAATGCACAGGATGCATTACATGAGTCATCAGCTTTAGGTCTCTTAAGCAGGTTTGGAGTCATTCCCCTCACTGATGCACTGAGATGTCAGCAGAGGAGCCCTAATAAGGTGTCATAATCAGGAACTCAACACTGGTTATGGTGTGAGAGGAATTTTAAGCTACATCTTACGGCTCACAATGTAAAGACGGATGATATTATCAAGGCAGAGAGAGTAGAGCGACTGTCGTATGTTCATGTCATGACCTCCGTGCAGAGAGAGTTCTGAATGCATTACACAAGTCATTATTGCCTGTAAGCACATTTGGAGTCACTGTGTCTCATGGGAGACCCGAGGCATCCTGCCAATTGTTTTTTTTTAATGTTATAGGGAAAGTCTATAACCGAGTGTGATTTTTGTATTTGATGATATGTAAATATGACATGATATTTTTGTCCATGAAGGGATTTTGCCTTGAATAATGTTTCTGTTGGAAACATAGCTGTTAACTGGAGAGCAGTGCATTGTGATGTCCTCAGATACTTGCACTTTATGAACATGTTGACTTGATCTACTTCTCATGAAATTTGAACTGGTACTTTTGTACATCTTAACAAAACAGGGCTTTCAAAATCTGCTTTTGATTTTGTCTTTCTTTCCGCTGCCATCCCAGTCAAACATATTTTGAATGCATTTCAAACTTTTGAATTGGGTATTTAGAGGCATCTCTTAAAGGGATAGTTTCTTTCTGTCATTTACTCGCCCTCAAGTTGTTCACACCCATAAGAGTTTTATTTTTCTTCAGAACACAAATTACGATGTTTTTTAATATTCTCTCATCCTTTTTGACCAATGAGGTTTGTTCTCATCAAGCAAGCAGTTGAGTTTCTGTTTACCATATTTGATGAGTTTTTATGTTGATTGATGTTTATATGTAAATAAAAGCCTAAATAAATCTGTTAATCATAGCAGTCATATTTATTCAGAAG